CTACTGTTTTGCCTGCAATTGCATAGGATAGTCATTGGATAATCAATTCACATGTTTTTTTTCTTAATATGGATATTTTTGTGCAATTAAACGATGGAATTAGATCACAATTAATACAAGTAATGAATTCCCAGATGGATTCATGAGACAGTACAAATTACGTATGTGCTGAAAGCACATCCAATCAAGTATCAGTTCCCAAGTTTAGCATATATATAGACATGATAGCAAAAATACTTTTTATCTCATCAGATCATCAAAACACACTTCAGTCTCTTCCAAATCAACCTCATTTTGTTGATTGGGTGTTTCCTGCCACCTAGTGGGCAAGAGTAAAATGTGAATTTCTGAAACCATGTTTAACTTAATTGACATGAAACCCAGATTTGCAAATCATGCTGATAAACCAAGGTAGTCTATATGGAGACTGAAGGACTGCGAACCCAGTCATTGCTTTCAAGACACTATGGTTTGTGAGGTATTTGGTGAACCCAATGTATGATTTATCCAATATAACAAGCTCAAACCATATGAACCTAATCTAAAAGTGTGGCCTTATATAGGTGGTCTTGCATGACATGGCTAATCCTGTCTGAGTAAGGGCTGTATGATAAGCAGCCTTCGCGAGCTGTCTCCCAGATATCTTAGCAGGCGTCAGCAAGTGTTTTAACAGATTTTGTAAATACTTTTAAAAACAGGTAGTCTTAAAGCTTTACCTTCCTTAATTTTTTTTCTCTGTCCGGCAGCAGTTTGTGTGCATACCAGTTTGTGTGTGTGTTTAAATCCTGAAAACAAGCAAGTCAGCTGCATTTCCACAGTTGCTCCAAGTCTCAATTTTAGTGGAAGAGGCTGGAATAGAAATCTATCTGGACCTTTGTTTCAGAGGCCAAATTATTGCTTTTGATGACGGGGCTTGAGACATTTTAATGTGAAGCAGCTTAATCTCAGCACAGCATTAAGATCCGCTTTTGCATATTGCCTGCTCCCTTAAGAAAGAAAACTGAGATTTCACAGTTGAAAGAAATTCCAGTATGGTCACCCGCAAGTATAGGACACCAACGGCAACTGGGAAGAGTATTCAGCCTTGTCTGACTCCTTTGCTAGCTTGGAGCTACTGTTTTGCCACGTTCCTTCTCTGGCTTCTTATTTTGTGCATAGGTTTTTTTATGAAGAAAATGAGATGTTTTTCCCATTTACCTAAGGAGATTCCACCAGTTGACATGCTCAACACAATCAAGGTTCTTTGTACTTGGTGACCAAAATGTAGAAAAAAGATATGGAGACTCCAGAAAGAGCGCAGAGAAGAGCAATCAAGATGATTAAAGGACTGGAGGATAAAACATATAAAGAAGGGTTGCTGGAATTGGGTATGTCTAGTTTAATGAAAAGAAGGATGGGGGGGGGCATGATAGCAGTATTCTAATATCTCAGGGGTTGCCATAGAGAAGAGGGAGTCAACCTATTCTCCAAAGCACCTGAAGGCAGGACAAGAAGCAATGGATGGAAATTAATCAAGAAGAGAAGCAACCTAGAACTAAAGAAAATTCCTGACAGAACAATTTATCAGTGGAACAACTTGCCTCCAGAAGCTGTGGCTCCTCCAACGCTGGAAGTTTTTAAGAAGAGATTGGACAGCCATTTGTCTGAAATGGTATAGGGTTTGCTGCCTAAACAGGAGGTTGGGCTAGAAGACCTCCAAGGTCCCTTCCAACTCTGTTATTCTATATTCTAAATATCTTAGGATACATTTTTAAGAAAAGCCACTGTGGGGATGGGCTCTTGTGGGTATCTAAAAATATCTGCACTTTGTAAAGTCAAATGAAAGAACAGTTATGCAGATTAATTCTGATTTCATACTGCATTCTTTGAATGTCAGTCTAGGAACGTAGGCTAGTCTATGCAACAGCGAACCACATTAGAGGTTATTGGTGGCACCTCCACTGCTGGAGGCAACAATTCTGCTGCTCTAAATAGATATTCAGGTTGCAGAAAGACTTGCATCAGTCCCTTGTGCAAGCAAAGGACTGCCCAACTGAAATGTGTGAATTGCACTGGACATCCAATAAGAGGCAGTCCTTGACTTATGGCCACAATTGGAACCAGGATTTCTGTTGCTAAGCAAGGTGGTTGGTAAGTGAGTCATGTGTCATTTTACCTTTTTTCGCTAGAGTTAAGTGAATCAGGCTGTTAAGTGGATACAAATTCCCCCCATTGACTTTGCTTGTTGTAAACTGGCTGGAAATGTCACAAATGATGACCGTATGACCCCAAGACACTGCAATCGTCATAAATACATGGCTGGTTGACAAGCACCCAAATTTTGATCACGTGATCGTGAGGATGTTCCAATATTCATAATAGCAATAGCACTTAGATTTATATACTGCTCCACGGTGCTTTGCAGCCCTCTCGGAGCAGTTCACGGAGTCAGCATATTTCCCCCAACAATCTGGGTCCTCATGCTACTGACCTAGAAAGGATGGAAGGCTAAGTCAACCTTGAACCATGAGGATTGAGCTGTGGGCAGAGTCAGCCTGCCATATTGCATTCTAACCACTGTGCCATCAGGGCTGATAAGCTTGAGGACTGGTCATAAACCACTTTTTTCAATACTATTGCAATTTCAAACTCTAAACAAATGCAGGATCCAATCTAGGTCGGTCATTGAGTCCAGAGGTTTTGTCTTCCGAGCTTGAGGACTAGTGCTGGAGCTCATCTTCAGGGAATTTCTCATCTTCAGGGAACTAGTCTAGCAGAGTATGTGCTTTGGGTTGCCTGTTGTATGTGGCTTTTTTGATGTTGTGATTGGGGGGTTGCTGGCTGACTATTAAGTTGTTGCCAATTGTCTCCTTGTGCTGCCAAGCCCTCACCTGTTAAGTACTTGATAAGGTGGTGATAGATCAGCATTCCTGTTGAATGACGGGGCCTGTTTTGTAGGCTTCAATCACTTCCCTGGCTGTTTTTGTGCTTGCTCGTCCAACAATCTTAGTAGCTGTAAAATTGAATGTATATTCTTGTCAATGCAGTGTGAGGTTACCAACGAGTTCAGGTCTCATCTGACCACTAGCATTTGTTCTTGCAATCTGGTGGATAGCTTCCTTCCCATCTGTCTTACATAATCACAGGGACAATCCATGAAGGGGATTAGGTCAACTACATTGCAAGTATCCCCCACCTGCAAGTCATTTTTACAATGAATAATTTGTCCTCATATGGTGGCGTCTGGGGTGTGTGCAATGCCCACTTGCAGATCTCATAAGCTGCATTCTACAGCTTCCAAAATGTTTTTGATGCGTGGCAATAATTTGCTACAAGATGTCTGTGCAACACGAGGAAAGAAAGGAAAAAACAAAGTACAAGACCAACCACATCCTGCCATACATCAAAAACATTTCAGAATTTTTCAGCTACTAAGATTGTTGAACAAGCAGGCACAAAGCAGCCAAGGAATTGATTGAAGCCTGGAAAACAGGTTCATCAATCAACAGGAGTGCTTGGCTTATCAAGCAGTTAAGATGCAAGGGCTTGGCAGCCCAAGCAGAAAACGATCAACAACAGCAGCCATCAACACCCCAATCAACACTTAAAAAGCCATAGACAATAGGCACCATATTAAGAACAGCCCAAAGCACACACTCTGCTAGAGAGAAGTTCCCTGAAATGGGCTCCAGCAAAAGTCTGAAAGCGCAGAAGACAAAACTTCTGGTTCCAGTGACCAACCCAGATTGGATCCTGCAACATTATCCCGGGACACAAATATTTGCCTTCATTTGTGCTAAACAATTGGTTATAAGTCAAGGATATCTGTACTATAAAATCTCAATTTTTCAAAATTATTGTATACTTTTAATGTCATTACAACAGAAGATTAAATTAAAAATTGCCAAATCCCCACTGAGCCTGATATACATGAAATGTGAATTGCAATAATGGATCTATAGATATCACATTACCTATAACTATTCTGGACATAATTCAATTTCATATTTACTTCAGGTATGGCTTTATTACTACATTCATGCTTCTGATTCATTTTGAAATGCAGTACATTAATAACTCTGAAAATAGAAAGTCATTTCAGTAGAGAAAGAGCAACTCTGAAAATGAGAGGAGGTGACATCTTTATCCTGTGATAAAAACCCATATTCAACCACTCCTTTCTTATACAAAGAAAAGAACAGCTATTTGTAGCTAAAGTTTGTCTTGCTTTGTATAATACCCCGAACCACAAACTAACAAACCACATTCTGGCCTAACATCATGTGAATCCATTGGCATTTTAGTTCATGGTTCAATGTTCAAATCTAGAATCATGGGTTAATTTCCTAAGCTACTATTGAGTGAACCATGGGTGAAGGTTATAAAAGACAATCATTGTTATTAAAGGTTCAGAAACAAAAGTTCTGGGTCTTTTTTTTTTAGGTATCCACTCTTCTTCTACTGCATTAAAATCACCTGTCATGTATGACAAACTTTTCTGTGCTCAGTACCATTTACTGAGGACATAAACTGCAACCGTTGTCTTGGGCTATCAGAGTAGCAAGTTTGAGACACGTACAGCAGAACTTCCAGAATTCCCTAGCCAGCTTGCTAGGGTGGGAAATTATGGAAGTCGAAGTCCACCACACTTCAATTTGCCAAGTGTTGAGAAACACTGTTCTAGAGAAACAAGTGAGCACGTCAGTAGAAAATAACTGCAGCAATTAAGGAAAAAACGCAAAGAAAAAGAAAATCCCCGCAAAAGCTGCAGTAATTGCAGAAAATAATTGCAATTCATCCCACTCCTGAGGCTTCCCCCTCCTCAGCGTTGGGATAACTGAAATTGCAATGGAACATCAGCTGGATGGGATTTCCCCTCAAGTTTATTAAAAAAAGTAAAAAGAACCATGAAAAAAGTGCACCAATCAGCGCCGTTCTACCCAGGCTGCAAACAGCACCCCCTCACTCCCCAAGGTTCGAGCAGCGTTGACTGGCAGGCTTTTGTCATGTGACCGACCAGGATGGTGGCTCCTGCCGTACTCGTGTTGTACGGTCAACCATTCCAGGCGGAACCGGAAATGCAGCCTGCGCTCGGCTAGGCTGGAAAAGCGGCGCTGAGCGGTTCGCGTGAGTCCGGCAGGTGGGTTTCAGGGGGGAAAGATGCGTGTTTTTAAAGCGCGCGTGTCAAATGCGGGGAGGCCTGCTGTGGAAGGGTCCTGGGTGATCTAAAGGACCAGGGTGGTGGAAGCTGAGTAGGGAAGGGAAGAGGCGCATTGGTTTGGGGCAGAACTAATCTAATGCCCTTCAGATGCATCGGGCTGCGAGTTTCCTATATTCCTAACTGGTGGCAGTGCTACTTGAGCCTTGGGAATGGTGTAGTACTTCAAACGTACCTGGAAGATCTTTGATTTGGAGCGGGATGGATGGATGGGAAGGCTTACAGTAGAAGAAGTAAGACATAGAAGTGGAAGGAACATGTTGATTTCTTACGATCTGTACTGGATATTGGTTTAAATGGCGAGGGTATTTCTCTGGGGGATAGTTTTAATGGCAACACAACTGGGGAAGCTCCTTTCCGTCGTTCCTAACTGTACGATCCCTTTTGCAGATTTTGTACTTGTAGAAAATATAAGAAATTCAGGGCTTGGATGTATCAAATACTGTCTTTCTTCCTTTCTTTTTAGTTTTCGCTAGGCAAACCTGTTTTGCTGAGTTGTCCTTGTTGGACAAACACATATTGAACGCCTTTCAATATACTATGAATCTGTATTTTAGATTGTGATATTAGGATTGTATAGTGTTGAATAGTGTCATTCAACAGGATGGGTTTCTGAAAGCAATAATTTCCCGTTTTAATATTAGGAAATTATTTTCCAGAAAGTAAAATGTTAATATAGTTTATAGTTAATAAAACTAGCCCTTCTTTTTAAAAGCTCATTGCAAAACCCAAGGATGCCCTCTTGGGTGTTACTTAAGCCTAAATCTTGAGGTTTTTATTATTAATATCTGCATTTAATGGAAGTATTATTTGGAGTTTAGCATGGCAGCTAAAAATGAAATCCTGCATTGTTTGATGCAGAAACTGTGTTTCAAGATTGCTGCAATAATGTTACTTTAGTAGTTTAAGGTTTTAACATCTCCCTCCCTGCTATGGAGTTATTTGAGACCACCTAACCATAGCCTCAGTAGTCTCTTCAGGAAGACAGTATTGCAATCCACTGATTACCTTCCCAAACCGGTGGGGGAAGACACCTGTCTTGTCCAGCTGGTAGATCTTGTTTTGCATTGCTCATGTAGGAAGCGGTGAAACAACATAAGTGTTCTAATATCCGCTAGTAACCTCAGTGTCATACAGCCTTTTCCTTTCCATTGCAATTCTTGGCAGATGTGTGATGATTTCTTCATATTACTTTTGATTATTTTTCTTTCCAGCCAAACCTCCTTTGGGGGCTAATCTTTTAGTGTGCCACATTTTTAATGTGGATCCTAAAAAAGCTAAGCAAGATGAGAGTTAAGTTAGTAAGAAATTGTAGATATGAAGGTTATGCTTTGAAGTGGACATTAAATATAATCCATGTAGTCACCAAAGATTAATTCAACTTCAAGTTGCATTTACCTTTTATTTAGCTGATCTGTTTCACTCCCATGATTGGAAGTTATGAACATAACTGTTACAACTCACCATAAAGATATATAACAATATGCTCCAAATGTGCAGATATTTGGAGGACATCATTTCAAAAACAGGAGTGGACCACCATTCTCTTTCAAGTCTTCAGAAAAACTTCCTTTTCACCAAATTGTGAAAGTTATAAAGAACATGAATGGGAGCAAAAGAAAGAAAAAAAACCTCTCTCAAAACACTGAGATGAGGAGTAAAGCTGACTAGAACAGAGGTCTCCAACCTTGCCAACTTTAAGTCTTGTGGACTTCAACTTCCAGAGTTCCTCAGCCAGTTTTGCTGGCTGAGGAACTCTGGGAGTTGAAGTCAACAAGTCTTAAAGTTGCCAAGGTTGGAGACCCCTGGACTAGGAGGAGATTTAGAATAACATAACGTGCTTAGAATTACTTATCATATGATATGGTGAAGGCCACTAACTTGGGTGGCTTTGAAAGGGATTGGATCACTTCGCGAAAAATGGGTTTCTCAAGGGCCATTAATCTTGAAGTCTAAATACAATCTCTAGATTAAAAGTAGCATGCTTACAAATACTAATTGCAGGAAGGAATGCTAAGAGAAGGCCAAGTCTCCCATCTCCAGCTTGTGGGGTTTGCAGAGTAACCTCTTTGGCCATTGTGAGAATTAAAATGCTGGATTAAAATGAACCTTAGCTTTATTTAGCAACATGGTGGTTTTTTTTTTTCATATTTACCTGATTTAAATGTCCCTTGAACATCTCTTTTTCTCTTTCAGCTGTGCTGGGAATAGATCTTCAGAGATGCACAGGATGATTTGAAGCACCATGCTGATTGCTGCCTATGTCGCTTTTGCTTTGCTCCTACTGATATGTTTGGGCTTGGAGTTCTCCGCCTGTCGCTCCAGGCTCACCAGCAGGTCTTACTCCAACCCAGCCTTCTTGCAGTTCCAGCTAGATTATTATCAAGTCTATTTCTTGGCTCTCACAGCCGATTGGTTGCAAGGACCTTATCTTTACAAACTCTACCAGCATTATAACTTCTTGGAGGCCCAGATCACCATTATTTATGTTTGTGGCTTTGCCTCAAGTGTGTTGTTTGGGCTGGTTTCCAATTCCTTGGTTGACCGCTTGGGCCGAAAAAAGTCTTGCATCCTCTTCTCCTTGACTTACTCTGTCTGCTGCCTCACAAAGCTCTCCTGGGATTATTTTGTTCTAATTGTAGGAAGAATATTAGGAGGGCTGTCCACTGCTCTCCTGTTCTCTGCCTTTGAGGCATGGTATGTGCATGAGCATGTGGAGCGCCACGATTTCCCAGCTGAGTGGATTCCTGCCACCTTCACAAAGGCTGCCTTCTGGAATAGCATAATTGCTATTGGAGCTGGTGTAGTTGCCAATATCTTTGCTGAATGGCTGGGATTTGGCCCAGTAGCTCCCTTTATGGTCTCTATTCCCTTTCTTGTGCTGGCTGGTACTTTGGTTATGAAGAACTGGGATGAGAATTATGGAAAGAAGAGGGCGCTGTCCAGAACTTACACTGATGGCTTGAAATGCCTTCTCTCCGACCGCCGTGTCCTGCTTTTGGGGACTATTCAAGCCTTATTTGAAAGTGTCATCTATATCTTCATCTTCCTCTGGACTCCTGTCCTGGATCCCTACAACCCACCTCTAGGTATTGTCTTCTCCAGTTTCATGGCTGCCAGCATGGTTGGATCCTCACTGTACCGTGTGGCCACATCCAAGAAATATCACCTCCAGCCCATGCACATCCTGTCTCTTTCAGTCCTAATGGTGTTTTTTTCACTCTTCATGCTGACTTTCTCAACCAATCCTGGGCAAGAGAACCCATCGGAGTCCTTCTTGGCCTTCCTGCTTATTGAGCTCTCATGTGGGCTCTACTTCCCTTCCATGGGTTTTCTCAGGCAAAAAGTGATTCCTGAGAAGGATCAGGCAGGTGTGATGCATTGGTTCCGTGTTCCATTGAACCTACTGGCTTGCCTTGGGCTACTCATCCTCCATGATAGTGATTATAAGACGGGTACTAGGAATATGTTCACTATCTGCTCTGTTATGATGGTAATGGCCCTCTTGGCTGTTGTAAGCCTCTTTACTGTTGTCCGAAACAATGCAGAGCTCAGGCTGCCCAGTTCGTCTAGTCAGGCTGAGATATCTTCTCCTGAGCTCTGATCAATAGTATGCCAATTGTCCATAATGTGTTACAGAGCCAGTACTATATATATACAAGGAGTCTGCAAGGAGCCCACTGAGCATCTGCCAAGTCCAATCTGGACCTCTTCCACATAACCAGAGGACTAAAGCGGATGCACAACTAATTTTCTTCTTTTCAACAGTGATGGGCCACATTAGGAACTTGGATACATCTATGTCAAGCATAGCTTTTCCCCCTTTCTCCTCCCCACCCCCAACCTTGGAGTTTTGAATTCCAGTGGCTGCTTGGCTTCTGCTAGCCAAATGTGGAGGCTGCAGTCTACTACTTCATCCTGAATTGATGGTGACAGACAACGGCTTACAAGGACAAAGCAGGGTTTCTTTTTTTTTTTCTTTTAAAAAAGGCAACAGTGAGGTTGATAGACTGATTGTCCAATGTCAGTATTGAACTTGGTAGCCGGATCAGCTGTATTCTATAATCAGCAGTATCATCCACATTCTATGATCTTCTGCTTTTTTAAAAAAGTAATAAACTGAAATTAAACATAAAGATTATATCGAGTCAATTTTAATTTTGACAGTATATAGCCAGAATTGGTGAAATATTTCAAAATGAAGGTAGAATATTTTGAAATTCCAAATTTAGACATCACAAGGCTTTTATTGTGTTTATATTGGTTTCACAATTTCCAGTATTGCAGTGATAAAGCATTGGTCTTCCAATTTCCATTTTCCTCATTGTTTTAGCTTCTGTTTCAGTTTATAGTGAAAAGTATGTAAATTAAGCATCTGTTCACTATTTTAATCATATTTGTGAACAAAATTTTAAAAAAATACTGAGACTCAAACAGGAAGAGTAAGTCTTAGATTTTATTTTATAGTGCATCTTGTTTTGTTTCATTGTCTATCCCAGCACTCAGCAACCAAAACATTTGCTTCCGTTGATCTTAGCATGATCCATGACAAAAGTATATGGCAACTGTAGTCATATCTGGAGAACTTATCCAGAATTCATTTCCCCAATAGCCATGAAACTGCACTTTACAATATTTAGATTCTTGCGCTAGAGCATCTAGCTTGTAGGTTTGTATCATTTAGCCAATAAGTGCCTTTGAATAATAATTATTTTTACCAAAAACTACTGGCAAGCAATAGCTACTACTTGAGAGAAAGCATTGCCCCTTCTCTGCATTCATAGAGAAAGTCTCTCTTGACAGCTGCATGCTGCATCTACATGGGAAGTAAATGTATTTGCTTTTCTAATGCTAATGTGAAAACAGCTTTATTTAACAGTCTGTACAGTATATTTTAATGGTTAACACCTGAGCCAGTTAGTACAGTAATTAGCATTTTTTTTTCTAAACTGCTATGAAAGTGGGTATAGTTTTGCCTGAAGTGATAGACCTTGATTTTCTCTGCTTTGCTTTTTGTCCTGCCCAGAATTAAAAGTATATTCAAGTGGCAAACAAAAGGTAAAACAATGTTTCAGTGTGTTTTTGTCTACTTTTTTTTAGATCTCAGCTTTTATCTTTTTTTTCTTTTCTACATGTTGCCTCTCTTTTCTCCCAGTTTTTTAAAAACTTTATTTCAGGAGACAACTTTTAAACCAATTGTTCCTTTTGTAGCCAGGTGAGGAGTGGTACATTTCTCAGTGATTTCCTGTAATTTTTACTCAGTTTTTGACTTCTAAGGATGTAAAAATGTTACCACTTTTAATATATATTTGTCACACATTCAAAATTTATTTACCATTCAAGACCAAACAATAAAAGTCCAGTATAGATAGTCCTCAGATTACAATGACAGTTTGGAATTTCTGTTGCTAAGAAGTGCTGTTGTATCAAAAGAAGAGAATATTTGTAGATCAGGGTTGAATTGTGGCATGCTCTGAGCTTGGTGTGAGGGTTTGGGGGTTTTTTTTAACAGACATTACCAAACTAGGTAACATCAGTGCTAGCATTGAAGTTGAGGCCTTTCTGTGCTCTGCAGTAGATAGTAGACAGCGAGACATGTTGACCAGCTGTTTATGCTAGCACTGATGACATTACCTAATTTGTTGATGGAAGATCTGCAAGAAAACCACCAAGCTCAAAGAACATCAAGGATCTGAAAATGCTGTTGTAAAGCATGATGTGTGACCACATTGCTTAGTAACGGCAATTCTGACAGCCCTACTTGCTGTTGTAACCTCAAGGATTGTGCAAGTCATTATATACCATAGGAACAGTGTGAGATGGTGCTGGGGGCATGTGCTGCAGAATGCCATGGGGTATTGTGGGAAGGCACTATGGAATGCAGGTGGGCCAGCAGGTGCCACAAGTAAGTGCTATGGAACATAGGCGAGTAGGATGTTATAGAGTATTGTATAAGATCCCTGGTATCTTGTATTCTTAACAGGGTTCCTCCTGCTGCTTCCCTATTGCAAAATTATTTTTTGAACCTCTGGAAGTGAAACCTGAGACCATTCAGGAAGAAGTTCATCAAATAGCTGTTAGGAACTTAAAAGGTTTTCAGTTGGTGTGAAAATTATAGAAATGTCCAGAAATATCCAAGCCAAAACTTAAGAGGAATTATTGTTGCTACTAGCATTTCTTTTGGGTAAAAGTGGAGACAAAAAAAACAATTGTCTTTATTCACTATTGCTTGTTGGATTCTGGTCCAATTCTCAAGAGTGTAACACTGCTTTCAAAAGTTTATTTCTTATAGTCCTTTTTTACAAGGTAAAAGTTTTCATACGAGGTAGAGTCATTATGGATACAGGAATTCCTGTAAGCAAGAATTGCCTGTGCTTGGACCCTTTTACATCTCAAACTAGGCTTTGGGGCAGGGGTTAGTTCAGCGTAATGAGGGCTGTGTGAACTTTTGAGTAATGATTTCTGATGAAAAAGGGTTATACTTACTGATTTCTTCAAATCAACAAAGAGAATAAAAATAAAATGAGATCATATCCAATCTGTTTGTCCAGACAGGTCTAAGGAACCTGTCAGTAGAGATAAACTTGGCCCAGTTGAATCAAAAACAATTGAACCCACAGTTGGGTAGGCAGTCACCCTCTGATGGAAGATCACACTAAAGTCTTTGCAATGGAAGGCAAAGGTACTAGTAACTAGCATGTAGTCCAAAGTTGATACCCTTCTAGGATCCCTAATATTGAGTTCCCCCTCTGGATCTTCCTGGAATAGATTCATTAAGAATTCATTAAGAATCTTTAAGTCAAATTTTGTTGCCAATAAGAAAAGCTTCCAAATCTGTGTTATTGTTGGAATCCTTAGATTTCTGGGAAGTCTCAATCGAGGAAGATCATGGGATACTGTAATGCAGGAGAAAAGCCTTATCATTACTTCTCAATCTGGCATTGAAATTACCAGTGATTATTACTGTACAATGTGTAAAATGAGAGGTTAAATTCAAGAGCCAAGAGCCAAAACTGTCATATCCACTACTGATTTGAGAAATATGGGGAGCTAGGAAACACTTCTAGAAACAAATTGGGTAGGCTAATTTTCAGGGGAATAGCTCTAGCAAATTGTTTACAATATTGTAAAATAAAGTGTAAGCATGGAGCATCTCAGAAATAGGTACGTATGCTGATTCTTCATAATGGACAGTCACTCTTCTGGTTAAGTCTAGGCAAGAGGGGAATAAGAGGTGGTACTGTTTAAAATATAAAAGATCTGTATTCCAAGTCTGTATCTTTTGTAAAAATAAAACTTCAGATTGTTTTCAGCAATCTGTAAATTGTATTGGTCTGACAAGGGAGATTCCAATAGTAGGCAGGACACTGATATGTATCACAGTTGCTCATAACATCTGCCTCTGGAACTGTCTCTGCTCCCGAGTCAGTCAGACCACTGAACTGATTACTCATAATTCATCAGTAACTGTGACTAGCATGCAATTCAGTTCAGGGAACAGATCATTAGTTAACTGCTTCAAGGATTTTCTTGTGCTTATATGTGTAGACTTAAGAGTGAATCCTCTTTTTCCTACCCATTAAGATTTTTTAAAAAGAACTGTGGTAAAAGAAAACCAAATACATGCCAGTCATCAGGATAAAAGTTGGGAATCAAAAATTGAAAGTTAAACAAATTTAAAGTTAGAAATGATTTTTTAAATGTATATTGGAGTCAGAGAAAACAAAAATATTGGAGTCAGAGAAGACCCTTGGCTGTGTTACACCATTTTCAGAAAAGAAAAGAAAACCAAATAGCAAAATATGTTCCCCCAAGTTTGCTGATTATCACTAATTTTACCTATTTGCCCAGTCAATTCTACAGTGATTTTTGATATGGTAAATAAAAACTATATCAGATGAGATAGAATGGGTAAAATGCCTCTTTCCTGTATCACATTTTAGCCCTTCCGTGTATACACTAAAGTTGGAGAAAAAGAAGATACTGTAGTTAGCATTGTTCTGTTTGGTAGCTGTTTTAGGTTTTTGTCTCTGTCTAGAGACCTGAAGAGTATTAATCACACATTAGTTATCTACTTGGTCCAGACAATATGAACAGCTAAAGTTAAGATAAAGGGGGAACCAATGACAATGCTTGACTTGGCTGTGCTCAACACAGTTGACCTAGGTTCTAGATTCATTAGGCTTGTCAAAAAATTAGCTCTTGGAATTATGTCAAGATGATGAGTACCTGTATAAGCAAATTCCAAACCTACAGAGGAACATTTAGAAAGCTCTGGTTCTGTTACATGGATCCCAACAAGGCTCCATAACATATTTTTTTAGCAAGTTATTACCAACTGGGAGCCATTTACGGTTTGCTTTATGATTTGGGATGGGGTAATTTTGTCAAGAACTAGAAAAAGTTAACATGTTACTACTGTACACCGTTATCTGTGGCACATTCATAGCTAGAAAACATAACAGTGACGACCTACTTGTCCAGTAGATCATCTCCTATTCAGGAGTATTACTCGGGGTAATTCTTAATCATAAGCAGACAATCAGTAATAGTTTATAACTCTCAGTAATTATTATACTCTTAGTAAGATAAGAGTTACTGAACAAACTTTTAAAAGCCACATGGAAGCTGTGGTTGTGCGAAGTTTGATTAATTGTAACCTAGGTTAGGCTTTTTGAGGCTTAACATATTCATACAAAACAACATAGTTAATTTTTGGCTGAGTGTCATATTGATAGAAGATACGGACAACTAAACCATAACTACATTAGTCATGGATAAGATTGCACAAACGCTGCAATAGAAAAGCTGCTTTGATAAGAATCAGTAAGCATGCTACAGTCATTACATTCTGGTTTGACCTTTTGTTCTAATTATACCTTGAGAAAATCCTACAATATATGGAGGTGATCTCAAAAAAATCTTACGTAACTTACATTGCCTGTCTTTTTCATCTACCCAATTAACTTATCTATATGCCAATCAACTTATGAATATGTATAGAGTTGGGAGAAAAATAATACTTGATAAACTAGTCAGGCTACTCTCTGCCAAGAGCTATCACTTGTGGAATTAGTTTTGCATTTTGCATTAGTGTTAACACCCACAGATCACCACCCCATGTTAGTAGTATTGAGCTTGCCACAGTGAAGCATAAGAGCTCCACGTGTTAAGACATGATGATGTAGTATTGCGCATTTAGAATATACTGTATATCAAAGGTATCTTTACAGTAATGTCATTTTATTAAATTGTTCTGAGTGCTTTTATGAATCAATAACCTCTTTTTATTCTGGAAGGGCTTCTACTTTTATTTATTATTATTTCTATCCTGCTAAACTCCAAAATGGCTCTGATACATGTTCAATAAAATAACTCTGAAGAATCAGTCAAAAAAAACCCAATGTGGTTTTCTCTTAAGATTCCCCATCTCTCCCTCTCTCTCTGTTCTAACTCTCTTGTGGCAGATAATTCCTTTCAACCCTTGTTTCCATTTGAAAACATTGACATATTTTTTCTTTACAATGAAAAAATCAACTTAGAAGATCTACCCACATTATCAATGAACATATCTGCATTTCTTATACTATAAAACTGCTACCACAAGATTATCTGAATCTCATCTTGAAGATCTTTGACATTCAGGTATTCTTATGATAGCAATCTTTCATATATTCAAATATTGAAGACTGGCATTGTTCTTAGAATAGAGACATACGAACAGTTTCTTTTAAAATAAACCATAATGCTTTGATGATAACTTCTATTTTATAAAATATCTAAATACTTTAGTGAAAGGGTATTTAAATGGACATGCACGCATGGACTACACTACAACATAAAACATTAGTAAATTAAAATACCTGTCTAAATGCTGTTACTTACCTATAGTACTTTTTTGTTTTGAATCTTTTGCTTCAGTTTCATTTAATGGATGTATAAATATTAGCTCTCGTTCTGTCTTAATCATCTTCCTCTGCAGGTTGTCAATTCAATTTACTATGGACTATGAAGTTTTCAAAGCAGTACCCAATGAGGCTATTGACATCTTCCTCTGTTGGGGGAGGATCTGTCCTACCTTTAGGATTATGATGGAATATCTGATGGGCAGAGATCATGCATGGAAACAAGACTAAATCATAAGTACTTTGGGGGTGACAATACAAATAAATATTCTAAGTAGAAAAACTGAACAAAAACCCTATTTATTACTTCCTATGCTTATATCTGCCTTTTTCACTCTTTTCTCCATGTTACTACTATTGCTCCAACTGTCTTGGACTTTCTCCCCTTCCCCCTCTGTAAAGATTTACTCAGTAGATTGTCAAAAAAAATGCAGATTTATCATTTGTATTGTCTACCTTCTCAGCTATTTTGTTAACAAAGATGAGCTTTCAGTGGAGCCATTTTGGAATAGTGCCTATTTATTCCCCACCCCCCAAGTTTCACTAGCCCAAAACTATTGGTCCAGACCTAAGTGCACCGATTCTTGTTACTTATATTAGATTATGGCATAGGAGTCAGAAGTTAGTAAATCCATGCAATTGACTCATGCAATGTTATAGTTAACAGACCATGGTTAATCATATTGGAATTAAGCTAACCTGAGCAGTAAGTGGATGGACTGCATCTTATTTTGGGAGGATAGGGTATCAATTGGAGACAAGACTGCAGCATTCCCCAGCTAGGAATATCGAATGTTGTGATGAATCACAAGCAAAGATAAATATTATTTTGTATGGAAAATTACACTTCCATGCAAGGAACCAGTTTATTCCTTGGCAGGGTATTTGTTAGCAACATAGGAATAACAGATACAACACATCTTTTTCCACCTAGCAGTGGTGTATTTCAATAAGGAATTATCCAGGAATAGAGAGCATGCTGTTAATAGTACCACTTAGGAATTTTTGGAATGCTTTTAATACTGGAAATGGAAAAACCTGAATCCGTAAGATCAACAAGACAAGCAAATGTCAATCAAACTTCGGCAAGCCAAACATTTCTGGCTTGAAATCATTCATTGATTGTAGGACACGGGTGGCTTCTTTCGTCAGTTCTTTCGGCAACCCGACGTCGGGGACCATGACTACTTGCATGCCGGCAGCCAGGGCCGCTTTGACCCCGTTCGGGGCGTCTTCAAAGACGAGGCACTTTGCCGGAGATGCCGGCGGTTCGAACCTCTTGGCGGCAACCAAAAATATATCGGGCTGCGGCTTGCCGTTTTTTACCTCGGGGTCATCTCCCATCACAAGGTGATGGAACAAACCGAAAAAGGGCTTCAGTTGCCCCGTCTTCATCTCGAACACCTCGCGAACGGAGCTGGTGCCGACGGCGATGGGGATCTTGTGCCCGTGCAGATGGCGGACCAGCTTGTCCACGCCGGGCATTAAGGCAGAGGTGGGATATAGTTCTCGTTTCTTTTGGGCGGTTTCGCGGAGGATTTCTTCGACGGTTAAGGGCAGATCGAAAAGCTTTCGGAGAATCTCCAGGCCGTTCGTTTCTTTCATCCCCATGATCTGGGACCTTTCCTTCCAAGTGTACGTCTTCCCGTAGCGGCTGCAGAGTTCTTTCATGATGTTGTTGAAGATATCCTCGGTGTTTATGAGGGTGCCATCCAGGTCAAAGATGACATGAGTAACGGGCTGTAGCGGCTTGCCTCCGTCGGAGGAAGCAGCCATCGGCCTCGACCACCGGCTCCCGCGCTAAACCAACCAACCGCCAAGGAAAACCGCGGAAAACGAACTACGCCTGCGCAGTGCTGTTTCCCAGTCTCCGCAATGGACGCCTCGTGTCTTTGAGCGTTCGAGAATTCGTGGTTCGGCCGCCTGTTTCGAGCCTTTGCGAAGATGGTCGTTGGGGGTTCGCTGCGTCTCCTTCTGCAAAGACGTTCTAATAATTCGTAGGAAAGAAGAGCCGGCTTGTAGTATCAAACTCTGCGGTCCCAGAATTTTGGTTAAAATAAAGAAGAGGCGTTAATTAAATCAGTTTGCTTTGGAGGGCAGCTATAAAACAATCTGCAAGCCCGCGCTGGAGATCGAATGGAACCATGCCCCTTTCCCGAATCCAGCAGTCCATGGATCCAGTGCTCTATCCCAGACTTCCCCAATGTGATGCAGCAGAAATTGCAATTTCCATGCTGGGGCTTGAGTGGTGGTTTCAACATACTTAAAAGGCACTGGGTTGGAAAGACTGATATAGGTTGTTTTTAACTTACAACAGCTCATTTAGTGACCATTCAAAGTTAAATGGCACTGAGAAAAGTGACATAACTCTTTTTCACTTATAACCATTGCCGCATCCTCAAGATCATGCGATTTTCATTTGAATGCTTGAGAACTAGTTCATATTTATGACAGTTGCAGCCCCGGGGTCATGTGATCGCTTTTTGTGACTTTCGGACAAGCAAAAATCAGTGGGAAAGCCAGGTTCATTTAACGGTGTTACTAATTTAGCAACTGCAGTGATTCACTTAACAAATGTGGCAAGAAAAACCATAAAATGGGGCAAAACTCATTTAACAAATTCCTTGCTTAGCAACATAAATTTTAGGCTTAATTGTGATCATAACTCGACTACCTGTATTGTGTTTAATTCAAAA